AACAGTGACAAATGTAAGATACTCCACTTAGGCAGGAAAAACGAAATGCAAAGATACAGAATGGGGGACAATGCCTGGCTCGAGAGCAACGTGTGAAAAAGATCTTGGAGTCCTCGTGGACAACAAGCTAAACATGAGCCAACAATGTGATGTGGTTGCAAAAAAAGCCAATGGGATTTTGGCCTGCATCAATAGGAGCATAGTGTCTAGATCTAGGGAAGTCAATGCTACCCCTCTATTCGCCTTGGTTAGACCACACCTGGAATATTGTGTCCAATTCTGGGCACCACAATTCAAGAGAGATAGTGACAAGCTGGAATGTGTCCAGAGGAGGGCGACTAAAATGATCAAGGGTCTGGAGAACAAGCCCTATGAGGAGCGGCTTAAGGAGCTGGGCATGTTTAGCCTGAAGAAGAGAAGGCTGAGAGGAGATATGATAGCCATGTATAAATATGTGAGAGGAAGCCACAGGGAGGAGGGAGCAAGCTTGTTTTCTGCTTCCTTAGAGACTAGGACATGGAACAATGGCTTCAAACTCCAAGAGAGGAGATTCCATCTGAACATGAGGAAGAACTTCCTGACTGTGAGAGCCGTTCAGCAGTGGAACTCTCTGCCCCGGAGTGTGGTGGAGGCTCCTTCTTTGGAAGCTTTTAAACAGAGGCTGGATGGCCATCTGTCAGGGGTGATTTGAATGCAATATTCCTGCTTCTTGGCAGAATAGGGTTGGACTGGATGGCCCATGAGGTCTCTTCCAACTCTTTGATTCTATGATTCTATGATTCTATGATCTATTAAAATATTCCCATCCAAACCCAAGTTACGACAGTGGAGGCATTACTTTTCATTCAACCCTCGTATGATAGAACCGATTAGGAAATGACATTTATAACCCAGGAACAACAATAATGTTCCATTGTGTTATCTGAGTACAGAGTTGTGCAATGCACTGGCATTATATGAGTCCACACTAGTCATTTAATGCAATTTCAACTTACGTGGAAATGGGGCCACTGAAACCCTGAAACCATGCTCCGAACAGTACTAGCAGCAGCCATGTTTTCATTTCTGCAGGGAGCAGGTCTTTTGTAAACATAACAGGTTCTAATTACTGCCTCGCAAGGAGCTCTCAAATCCTTGGCACGAGGACGGAGGGCATTCGTGCCATTTTGTTCCCTACTGCTTCAGGATAAGCCTTGTCTTAGAGGGCACTGGAAATCTGAGTAAGTGTTTAAAAGTAGTTTCTTTGAGTGTTTCTTTGTTTGAGAAACACTCAAAATATTATAAACACTCAAAATATTATAAATATTATAGTTTCAGATCCAGAAGAGGTGGGAGATGTTGCCTTTCGAAGCGAATGCAACTTCCCATCGTTGCCTGGATTCAGTTCCTATCGCTTCCAATGAGGCTTCGGAGTCGCTTGGCTTAATTTGAAACGATTTTGTGCAAAGTGCTTAAAAATCCCCTTAATTCCCCTCCTGCCAAGAATCACACCAAAGGAAATGATGTTGCTAGGAGACCCGCCGAAATCCAAGAACGGCAGAGGGTGATTGCTATTGAGAGAGACAATACCGGCTTCTAATATTTGGCTTCGGCATTGTGTGCATGAATACCAGTTTCCTCGTGAGCCAACCTCCTATATTAATGCAAAAGAGAATATCAAAGATCAGGATCTCATCTAGGTATTGATATATGTACAATCAACAGTCATTCATATTGACAGATTGTGTATGCATGGATTCAACCATCCATGGCTTGAAAACAATATATATATTGTGTTGTTGTAGGTTTTTTCGGGCTATATGGCCATGGTCTAGAGGCATTCTCTCCTGACGTTTCGCTTGCATCTATGGCAAGCATCCTCATAGGTTGCCATAGATGCAGGCGTAATGTCAGGAGAGAATGCTTCTAGAACATGGCCATATAGCCAGAAAAACCTACAACCCAGTGATTCTAGCCATGAAAGCCTTCGACAATACACCCTGAGAATTTTAGTTTGGCAAGGGATGCAGAGACATCTCTGTTTGAGAGCTTTATGTACAATCATCATCATCATCATCATCATCATCATCATCATCTATAATATAAATAAAAATGTAATGTTCGTTTGTGGGATTAACAGAACTCAAAAACCACTGGACGAATTGACACCAAATTTGGACACAAGACACCTATCAACCCAATGTGGACTCAAACAATGATGGATCTGGACCAAACTCTACAGGAATACTCAATATGCCCAAATGTGAACACTGGTGGAGTTTGGGGAAAACGGAATCTTGACATTTGGGAGTTGTAGTTGCTGGGATTTATAGTTCACCTACAATCAAAGAGCATTCTGAGCTCCACACCCACGATGGAATTGAACCAAACTTGGCACACAGTTCTCCCATGACCAACAGAAAATACTGGAAGGGTTTGGTGGGCAGTGTCCTTTGGTTTTGGAGTTGTAGTTCACCTACATCCAGAGATCACTGTGGACTCAAACAATGATGGATCTGGACCAAACTCTACACGGATACTCAATATGCCCAAATGTGAACACTGGTGGAGTTTGGGGAAAATAGAATCTTGACATTCAGGAGTTGTAGTTGCTGGGATTTATAGTTCACCTACAATCAAGAGCATTCTGAACCCCACCAATGATATAATTGGGCCAAACTTCTCACACAGAATTCCCATGATCAACCGAAAATAGTGGAAGGGTTTGGTAGGCATTCAGTTTGGGAGTTGTAGTTCAACTACATGCAGAGAGCACTGTGGACTCAAACAATGATGGATCTGGACCAAACTCTACACGAATATTCAATATGCCTAAATGTTAACACTGGTGGAGTTTGGGGATAAAAACCTTGACACTTGGGAGTTGTAGTTGCTGGAAGTTATAGTTCACCTACAATCAAAGAGCATTCTGGACCCCACCAACAATGGAATTGAACCAAACTTGGCACACAGTTCTCCCATGACCAACAGAAAACTGGAAGGGTTTGGTGGGCAGTGTCCTTTGGTTTTGGAGTTGTAGTTCACCTACATCCAGAGATCACTGTGGACTCAAACAATTATGGATCTGGACCAAACTCTACACGAATACTCAATATGCCCAAATGTGAACACTGGTGGAGTTTGGGAAAATAGAATCTTGACATTTGGGAGTTGTAGTTGCTGGGATTTATAGTTCACCTACAATCAAAGAGCATTCTGACCCCCTGAATTGAACCAAACTTGGCACACAGTTCACCCATGACCAACAGAAAATACTGAAAGGGTTTGGTGGTTAGTGTCCTTTGGTTTTGGAGTTGTAGTTCACCTACATCCAGAGATCACTGTGGACTCAAACAATGATGGATCTGGACCAAACTCTACACAAATACTCAATATGCCCAAATGTGAACACTGGTGGAGTTTGGGAAAAATAGAATCTTGACATTTGGGAGTTGTAGTTGCTGGGATTTATAGTTCACCTACAATCAAAGAGCATTCTGAACCCCACCAATGAGGAATTGAACCAAACTTGGCACACAGTTCTCCCATGACCAACAGAAAATACTGGAAGGGTTTGGTGGGCAGTGTCCTTTGGTTTTGGAATTGTAGTTCACCTATATCCAGAGATCACTGTGGACTCAAACAATGATGGATCTGGACCAAACTCTACACGAATACTCAATATGCCCAAATGTGAACACTGGTGGAGTTTGGGGAAAATAGAATCTTGACATTTGGGAGTTGTAGTTGCTGGGATTTATAGTTCACCTACAATCACAGAGCATTCTGAATCCCACCAACGGTAAAATTGGGCCAAACCTCCCACACAGGACCCCCATGTGGGCCACAGCAACGCGTGGCAGGGGACCACCTTTGCTGGATTATTATTATTATTATTATTATTATTATTATTATTATTATCATCATCATTATTTGAAATCCAACCAAGATGAGTCCACAGCAGATACTCTGCTGGCTGTTGTGTTGGATCACACATCGGACACTTCCCAAGTGTCTAGGACTGTGTGATGTATCAGCGAATAATGCGTGCAGATCCGAGTAAGGTGGCCTTTTGCAGCTGGCAGATGGTAATCTTGTCAGTGCCGATTGTGTTTAAGTGCAGGCCAAGGTCTTTAGGCACTGCACCCAGTGTGCCGATCACCACTGGGACCACCTTTATTGGTTTGTGCCAGAGTCTTTGTATATTATTATTATTATTATTATTATTATTATTATTATTATTATTATATGTTATTGTTTTATATTATTATACCATTATTATTATTATGTTATTATTATTATTATTATTATTATTATTTTAAACACAACAAGATGAGTCCACAGCAGACACTCTGCTGGCTGTTGTATTGGATCACACGTCGGACACTTCCCAAGTGTCTAGGACTGTGTGATGTATCGGCGAATAATGCGTGCAGATCCCAGTAAGGTGGCCTTCTGCAGCTGGCAGATGGTAATCTTGTCAGCGCTGATTGTGTTTAAGTGCAGGCCAAGGTCTTTAGGCACTGCACCCAGTGTGCCGATCACTACTGGGACCACCTTTACTGGTTTGTGCCAGAGTCTTGGCATATTATTATTATTATTATTATTATTATTATTATTATTAATAATAATACCATTATTATTATATGTTATTATTTTATATTATTATTATTATTATTATTATTATTATTATTATTATTATTATTATTATGGGATGGTGTTACATAGTTTCATGGGACTTGAGCACATATAGATTTTGATGTCCGTGGCAGATACCAAAACCTCATAGAAAACTATTTTCAGTTAAATATCTTAGTTGTAAACATGCCGACCAATTTTTTTTGGAGCATCAAAACTTGGATATCTGATCAATGGATAATGATATTGTATGGTATATCTAAATAGTAATCCATGTTTGCCATCCAGTACAACACTGAATTGATTGATTGATTGATTGATTGGCTATTTATTTGTCATGATATGAAAATATTGCTCCTCTTTGCTCTCTCCTCCTTTCATAGCCATCAAGGTGAGCTGCGTAGGATCTTGTGGGGTGTCCAACAAAATCAATGACACGGCTTGGACTGTGGAAGAGCAGTATTTCAACACCACGCTCTCGCTGGCCGACAAAGGTAAGAGGAACAAGATGAGGTGGGATGGGCACATCTCCTTGCCAAAATGTGAAATACATAGAATCATAGAATCCTAGAGCTGGAAGAGACCCTAAAGGGCCATCCAGTCTGACTCCCTTCTGCCAGAAAAGAAGACACAGTCAAAGCTCTCCTGACAGATGGCCATCCAGCTTCTGCTTGATGATGATATAATAATAATGGAATTATTATGATAATAATTATAATAATAATGAAATCATAGGATCCTAGAATTGGAAGGGACCACCAAAGGTCATCCAATCTCTCCTGAAAGATGGCCACCCAGCATCTGTTTAACAATAATAATAATAATCATCATCATAGAATCCTAGAGATCAAAGAGATAGCCTACTATTCAGGAAGGCACCATCCAAGCCCTCCTGACAGATGTTTATCCAGCTCTTGCTTAGTAGTAGTAGCAATAATAATAATAATAATAATGATAATAATAATAATAATAATAATGGAATCATAGGATTCTAGAGTTAGAAGGGACCCACAAAGACTATCCAATCCCCCCTGACAGATGACCACCCAGCCTCTGTTTAATAATAATAATAACAACAACAACAACAATAGAATCCTAGAGATGGAAGAGATCCTCTGCTATGCAGGAAGACACCATCCGATCCCTCCTGATAGATGGTCATCCAGCCCTTGCTCAGTAGTAGTATTAGTAGTAATAATGGAATCATAGAATCCTAGAGTTGGAAGGGACCCCAAAAGGCTATCTAGTCGAGCCCCCTTCTGCCACAACGGCACCATCTGATCCCTCCTGACAGGTGGCCATCCTGCTTTAAAACCTCCAGGGAAGGAGACTCCACCCCACTTGCTGGCAATGTGTTCCTCTATGTCCAAGCAAGAGGAAGTCACAAATTGGAGGTCCCTAGAATGAGTGCGGTGGCTTCATTGCTGCTTGATTATCCTTAAAAGGCGGCATATTTTGTAAAGGTTCAAGGTTTGCAAAAGAATTCCATCACAAAAATGATGCTATGTGGTGTAATTCTTCATTAGTCCTGGGCAGGGGCATTTATATATTGCACACCCACATGCACAAACACATATCCCCCCTTAAAGGAGGCCTCCCTTGAAACCAGTCGGCCTCAGACAGTGCGGCTTTGTTAGTCCAGGTACGGTGGAGAGAAGGATTTCGGCTGACGCATGGCGAAGGGAGGGAGGAAAGGGGCCGAGAGGGTGCGGCAAACCAGCTTGGTGGCTTCACCTGTGGTTCCGGACTTGGAGGAAACGAAACTTCTTGTACTTTGAGAGCAAAAAACACTGCTCTGTTATGCAAACCACATAAGGCAAGGAACCCATTTTCTGCTCTGGTGGCTGGTCATGGTTTCTTGTCCTCTTATCTCTCCTTGACACCATCAATGTAGCAGTCTTTCTTATAATTATAATTAAAGACTATGGCACAAAAATGGTCCCGGTGGTGGTCAGCACACTGGGTGCAGCGCCTAAAGACCTTGGCCTGGACTTAAAAATAATCGGCGCTAACAAAATTACCAACTGTCAACTGCAAAAGGCTACCCTACTTGGATCTGCATGCATTATTTGCTGATACATCACACAGTCCTAGACACTTGGGAAGTGTCTGACGTGTGATCGACTACAAAAGCCAGCATAGTGATCTTGTTTGCTGTGTACTAATTTTGTTGTATATCTAATGTTGTGTATTATTATTATTATTATTATTATTATTATTATTATTATTATTGAAGACATTGGCACAAACCAGTCAAGGTGGTCCCAATGGTGGTCGGCATACTGGGTGCAGCACCTAAAGACCCTGGCCTGGACTTAAAAAGAATCGGCGCTAAGAAAATTACCATCTGTCATTTGCAAAAGGCTACTCTACTCAGATGTACACAAATTATTCACCGATATATCACACAGTACTAGACACTTGGAAAGTGTCTGACGTGTGAACCAATACAAAAGCCAACAGAGTGATCTTCTTTGCTCTGTACTAATCTTGTTGTGTATCTAATGTTTATTATTATTATTATTATTATTATTATTATTATTATTATTATTATTAAAGACACTGGCACAAACCAGTCAAGGTGGTCCCAGTGGTGGTTGGGACACTGGGTGCAGTGCCTAAGGACCTTGGCCTGGACATAAAAACAATCGGCACTAATAAAATTACCATCTGTCAGCTGCAAAAGGCTACCCTACTCGGATCTACACGCATTATTCACCAATACATCACACAGTCCTAGACACTTGGGAAGTGTCTGACGTATGATCCAATACAAAAGCCAGCAGAGTGTTCTTGTTTGCTCTGTTGTGTATTTAATGTTGTGTATAATAATAATAATAATAATAATAATAATAATAATAATAATAATTAAAGACACTGGCACAAACCAGTCAAGGTGGTCCCAATGGTGGTCGGCACACTGGGTGCAGCACCTAAGGACCTTGGCCTGGACTTGAAAACAATCGGTGCTAACAAAATTACCATGTGTCAGCTGGAAAAGGCCACCTTACTGGGATCTGCACGCATTATTCACCGATACATCACACAGTCCTAGATACTTGGGAAGTGTCCGATGTGTGATCCAATACAACAGCTGGCAGAGTGATCTTGTTTGCTGTGTACTAATCTTGTTGTGTATCTAATAATAATAATAATAATAATAATAATAATAATATATTTGTGCACCGCCCTACCTCCCCGAACAGACTCAGGCAGTTTCCAGCATATCTGGCAAACGTTCAATGCCAAAAAGGGGAAACATACAAGCAAGTTACATCAAAACAGATCACATCAAACAATATGGAGTCAGCCTAAGTCTAAACTTAGTAACCAACAAAAATAACCAAAGATAAAACTTAATAATCCATATAAACATAAACACATAGCATAAATGTATCACTGGGTCAACTTTTCCCCTTTGTTAATGCCCAAAGTACTAACAACAACAATAATAATAATAATAATAATAATAATAATAATAATAATAATAATGTATTTATTATTTATAATATTTGTATCCCACCCATATCAGCCCGAAGGCGACTCCAGTTGCAATGTATTTTTTTAAAAAACCACAGAAACAAATCTAAAAACTTGGCATTATACCAATAATAATAATAATAATAATAATAATAATAATAATAATAATAATGTCATGTCGAAGGCTTTCATGGCTGGAATCAATGGGTTGCTGTAAGTTTTCCTGGCTGTATGGCCATGTTCCAGAAGCAGATGCTGGATGGGAGAGCTTTTGATTGTGTCCTTCTGCCTGGCGGAATGGGGTTGGACTGGATGGCCCTTGGAGTTCCCCTCCAACTCTAGGATTCTTATGCACTTTCAAGATGGAACTATTCAAGGCGACGGAATCTTCTTGTCGGGAGGTTTGGAAGCAAAGGCTGTATGGCCTTCTGTCGGGAAAGCTTGAATGGTGTCTTCCTGCCGGGTGGAATGGGGTTGCGCTTGGTGGCCGATGGGGTTTCTTGTATGGTTCTTAACAGCGGAAGAGCGGAATTCCATTCTGTGAAGGTCAAGGCTCTTGGAAACAGAGCCAGCTTTGGAGAGAGTTGCCGCCAAGGTTATGGCTGGGTTTCTGACGAAAAGACAGAAAGTCCCGCTCTTTCCCCCACATTGACTCTGGACTTATCTGCTCTTGAGCAATCCTGCAAAGCAAATGTGCCAATCGCCCTGGGCTCTGCTTGGTTCCATTGCATTGCAAGAAAACTGGTTAAGCCAGTTTGCAAAAACGCGGTGTGTTTTTGTTTATTTTCTGAAAAGCTGGGTGAATAGGCAAATGGAAAATCTACCTGTTTCATCCTTGGAAGGAAAAGAGTTTCGCTTATTCCGTAGCCACAATATCTATCTATCCATCTATCTATCCATCTATCCATCTCACTATCTATCTGTCTGTCCGTCTGTCCATCCGTCCGTCTATCCATCCTTCCATCCATCTCGCCATCCATCTATCTATCTATCTATCTATCTATCTATCTATCTATCTATCTATCTATCCATCCATCATCCATCCATCCACCAATACATCCATCTCGCCCTCTATCTATCCATCTATCTATCTATCCATCCATCCATCCCCCCTCTATCTATCTATCTATCTATCTATCTATCTATCTATCTATATTCTATCCATCTATCCATCTCACTATCTCTTCTGCCTATCTCCTCTATCCATCCATCCATCTCCATCTAACACAACAAGAAGTTTCTTTACCCATTTATAGCCTATGGGGTCCGAGTTGACACTCACCCTCTATCTATCTATCTATCTATCTATCTATCTATCTATCTATCTATCTATCTATCTATCCGTCCATCCGTCTGCCCGCCTATCTATCCATCCATCCATCTCGCCATCTATCTTTCTATTCATCCATCCATCTCGCCATCTATCTATCCATATATCCTTCCATCCATCCATCCATCCATCCATCCATCTCGCAATCTATCTATCCATCCATCCATCTATCCATCAATCCATCCATCCATCCGTCCATCTGTCCATCTATCCATCCATCCATCCATCCATCCATCCATCCATCTTGCCATCTATCTTTCTATCTATCCATCTATCCATCCATCCATCCATTTATCCATCCATCTCGCCATCTATCTATCCATCCATCTATCCATCCATCCATCTTGCCATCTATCTATCCATCTATCCATCCATCCATCCATCTCACCATCCATCCATCCATCCGTCCATCTGTCCATCTATCCATCCATCCATACATACATCTTGCCATCTATCTTTCTATCCATCCAACCATCCATCTCGCCATCCTTCCATCTATCCATCCATCCATCCATCCATCTCGCCATCTATCTATCCATCCATCTATCCATCCATTCATCCGTCCATCCATCTTGCCATCTATCTATCTATCAATCTATCCATCCATCTATCCATCCATCCATCCATCCATCTTGCCATCTATCTATCTATCCATCTATCTATCCATCTATCTATCCATCCATC